TACTGTTCCAGACCGGGCCAGTCACTTTTTCAAACAGTTTCTGAAATATCTGTGTTTTCTAAATTTGAATGCAAGGGAAGTGACAGGTATACCAGGGTACTAATTAAATACATAATTTATTGAAAAATATAAGATTTATTGCAACTTTGAGAATATTATACATAAAATATCTTAAAATCAAATAATACCACACATCAGTGGCGGCTGGTGGATTTTGGGTATACCGATATCTCAATTTTTAGATATGGGACCCACACCAAATTAATATGAGTTAATAATGATATTAAATAAACATGTTGCAAGTTCTTCCTAAAATTTGTTTACTTTATTTGTCGGTTTAATTTCCAATTTATTTTATTATCCTATAAATATCGTATTGAGGTAGTTACTTAAATTATCTGTAAATTATTTAAAAGGACGTAATGAACCAAATAACTACGCCCGTTTAACAAAGAGCACCATTTACAAATTTTACCATTTCCCTTTATTTAACCAGAATAAAATCTCTTTGAAAATTTAGCCATTTAATAATTCAACCCTTGTTTAAACTTAAACAAAAAAAAACCTTAAAATTCATTTCTAGCTTTTTTTTGTTTATTTGGTGTTAATTAACAGAGTACAAAGTTAATTTCATTGCAAAGTATAAAGTTGGAGAACGGTGCTCTGCACAAAACGAATAATTTATACTCCTAGACAGCTTTATTTTAATAAATAATTATGATAAACCACTACTGTATTTTGTAGACATAGTGACTAAAGTTTAGTTGGATTTTGGTTTTGCTTGAATTGCCCTAAAAAGTTTTATGTCTATCCTGCTGAAAAAGAACTGTGGACCAAATAGTTTTAAAAGAATGACTACTTCTGGCGTCAAATTATTACCTGTCAAATATTACTTTTGCACTTGTTCTCTGATAAAGTTTTAATGAAATTTAAAAACTTTGGTAAAATTTATTATAACAGCATAACAAAAGTTTTATTTCTATGTAGAATCCTGTATAGATTTAAATGAGGCTATTATAAATAAATTTATTTTCAATTCGCTATTTAATTTGTAAACCTAACAGAGTATCGCATACGAATATGATTCGATTGAATTTTATTCGTTCCCTTGATTGAATATTGTTCAACTGCTGCATACACGGTGGGAAATTTCATTAGAAAATCAATATTCTGACTTAATATAAGGACGTAATTATTTGTTACACCTGAGACATATTAAGGTAATATTAATTAATCTATTCATTGAAAATTCAAGATAGATTTATTTTGCAACAATGGATTTATTTTATAGCGCAAATTCGTTTTCAGAGGCTGTCATAAAATCTTGTATTTAAATCCGTTTTTTACGTTTCTTGTATAGGGATTTCTGGATTATCCTACTACGTTATTCATGCGCGGTGATAAATATGTAAAAATGGAATATCTTTGGAATTACGATAAATATTGTTTTACTTTTAAAATGTAATAAAGTGTCTGTTGCAAACACATAAATTTAAATTATTGATTGAACCCAAAAAACAGCATTATAATTACAATTAAGTCACAACACAAATTTAATTTTCTTTAAAAATTTGTTTGTTTGATTGTTTGTTTATTTAAAAAATTCCATATAATATATTATGTTATAATATGAAAATGGTTATACGCTTGAAAAAAATCTTTTATAAAACATCATTTTTTACTTTTTCACCATGGTTGTAATAATAAATAAAATTAAAGATTAAGTCAAAGAATAATAATTAAGTAACATAATAATAGATTATGTCAGGTTAGTATTTAACCATACAATATTATTTTGTATGATCTTTAATTTTATTTTTATAAGAATTGTCTTATTAATTTTAATGATGACAGCATATATTAATTAGGTATCAAAGAAAAATCTATTTTTATGTACAATTTTTAAAAAAACAATCATACAAGAATTGCTTTATTGCTATAAAATCTACCTTGTAATATAAACAATAATTTTGCATGCCATTAAAATTAGTACAATATCTAGCAGGCAGAGAAAGCGCTCAGTATTCGCTGCCAAGGCTGCAGATCTGAGCGAGGTAGTTTATATGCTTTCTCCGCCGTGTTGTATATACTTGTATATGTATTTTTAAGCATTTAATTATTTAATTACTCTATCCTAACATTAAAATGATCGAGTTTGCGACATTTTGTCAGTTTTGACGTTTGTTTTATGTTATAGGTTATGTACATCGATTTATTCTACAGTGATCTGTTTACATTACCTCTGCTGATTTCGAGCTAAACGCGATAGATGGAACCACTCTTCCTATATAATTTCAATGGATTATCATTATTGTACGGCGGTGTATACTAATTTGACTTTTGAACTGCGTACAAATATATAATAGGCTTATGAGTGTTATAATATGAAAATTGTCATTTAAGTATCTGAAACGTTTATATTTAAAAATAATGGAGAGTAAATGGATATATTATTGATTTGACACAAAAACTTTACTTTCCTGTTAAAGAGCCTACTTACGAGGATCCAACATTTATCAGAATTTAATAAAAATATAATAAAAATTTAAGGAGCCATACAGACTAATGCCGTAAAACTCGATGTCATAGGCATATTTTAAGCGATTTTAAGAAGCAACTTGTGTATCAGACTTCTTTTTAGAAAAGTCAGATCAGCTTTTATGTAGGTACTTTATTCTTTAAATTTTATTATATTCTTTTTTAAGTTTGTGTTTTAAAAGATTTGGTTTTAATTGAATTAAAAGGAAGCCCCACGGTGGTCTTTATCGTCTTTAATTAAAAATTACTAATTTTAATATTGGGGTAATTTGGTCCAAGTTTGAAATCAATAGTAATTTATTCTATACGTTATATGAAAACATAATAAAATATCTGAATGCATAAAATATTAATATAAAACCTTAATTAAATATAAAATATCAACAACAAAAAAATTAAAATGCTCTTAACGTATATCCAATATATATTAATTAATTATTTATGTATATTAAATTTTAATGCTCTCAAAATAAATTTCTCTTGTTTTTAAAATTTCATGGGATTTATTTAAATGTTAAAAACCACAAGACAAATTAGGTTCCTACAATTTTATTGTTTTAACATATAAAAAATTAAATTTATAATGTTTTATATTTAATTTTTTGCAAAAATGGCGAATGCGCCGGGACTACTAGTTTTGATTTTGTACAAATTAAATTTTAAAACTTACACCGACATGCCGTCCTTCTGTCAAAGGACATTTCTATATGTTTATTTTTACTATATGTGAGCCGTATACAGGGTGTCCCAGGACTCGCGCCACAGAGAAAAAAGGAACTTGCAGAAAGTACTTTATGTGAAACACATACTTGAAAATTAAAATTATCTAACGCAAAGGATACGCGAGATAAGAATAAAAATACATGGCCATAGAATAGTACATTCTGTAACAAGTTTGGAATACATCATATTCCGCTCGAGGAAAAATTTGACACACGAGCCGAAGGCGAGTGTGACGGTTTTACGAGAGTGGAATATGCTATTCCAAACGTGTTTCAGACATTATTTTCTCTACAACTACGTAAGAATAGTAACGCTTATATAATTTTAAACAGAGAAAAGAAACCAAGCAGTTTTTGACATTTAAGTTTTTTGTATTGTCAAACCATTTTATGCCGTCACAATTTTATAATGTAAATTATAATAAATTTAAACAAATGGTATGCCTAAATCTTTATTATAATTAAAAATAGTTATTTACACTAACTAATAAAAAAAATAACATTGTAACAAATACAAAACCAATTTTACAAGTAATCTATGTCAACATCTATTCTTTTTCTACATTTTAAAGGTCTTTTTTTAAACTTTTTGAATCTGTCAAAACTTCAAAGCCGGTATAGTAGGTAACTGGTTTACCATTTTAATATCAAATTTATTATAATTTTGATTTGTATATTTGAAAAACAATAAATATAACTAATTTTTTGTGCCTAAACCTTAATTATACAACTGCTATTATTTTTTAATTAATAAATAATACAGTAATATTTAAATATTTTTAAATTTTTTACGTTTAGTAAACAGCCAGGAGATGTCGTTACTTGTGACCATTCTTAAACAAGAGTAGGAATATTCTCGCACAGTATTGCAGAAAAACATCATTTCTATGATCAAAAATTACACTAGAATGTTACTATTCTTAAGTAGTCGTAGAGAATAGTATATTCTTTAACAAGTTTGGAATAAATTAAATTGCTAGGATACTTAGAATGCATTGTTGATATTATAATATGTAAAATATTTGGTCTGTAATCTTCTTCATTGTGACACTGCTGTCAATTTTTGTTCCTGTCATTATTTATCATTTTATGTTATATTTTTCTCCTCTGATTATGCCGAAATGATTAATATTTATGGGGAAATGATTAATATTTATGGGGAGGAAGGCAGCACGAGTTTTTTCCAGCGCTTAAAGTTGTAAAGAAATTGAAGCCATTTTTAATGCCTTTGTTGCAAATAGTAAGAAGCGCATAAGGGCAGTTGCACGCAAATTATCCATTCAAAGTTCAGCGGGTTATAAACGACGTTCATTTTACGCGAGTGCAGCAACTTCATTCCCGCTAGAGTGGAATTCTGTAGTGGTTGCTAGAGATTTTGGCTCTGGGTACAGAACTGGTTGTTTAATTTTTACTTTAAAACATTGGAGTTCTGAAGTATGACATTATTTTTTAGTTAGTAGTAGTAAACATAGTCGGACAAAATATTTTTAAAAGTTTTAAGACAACAATGTTCTATCGTCTAAATTTTTATTTTTAAACGCCCCTTTGTCTCTGTGGGGCGAGTTCTGGGACACCCTGTAGATGCAAAACTCACTTTTTGCCTAAATTAAAACAATTAGATATATACGCCTATGAATGTGAATTTTTAAAAGGAATCCATTGAACCTAATAGTTTGTAGCATAAGTAACTGTATAATATAGTAAAATTGAAATAAAATATACTGTGGGTGCAAAACTTACTTTTCTTCTGACATTTGAATGCAAAAGTCACTGTTTAGACTTGAACCGTTGCAACGGTTACAACGCGTTGATTTGAACATTTTTCAATAAACCCAATTTACATGATGAATAAAAGTAAACTATAAACTATAGTTTATATATATATTAACAACATTATAGCGCCAAATTTATTATTAAAAAATGTAAATTTAAAAAAAATGGGTATGAATCCTGGCACCTATTAAACTTTACCATCCAAATTATTATATATTTATTAAAATTCAATAAAATACGTTACATTGTCTATTTTGTACCAATAGGACCTATTTTTTATTGTCTTTTACTATAATTAGTTGCAAAACTCTCTTTTTGCCATTTAAGCCATACACTGTTTAAAATATCTGTGGTGTAAAGAATAATCTTAAAATGGTGTCAAAATCCAACACCAAATGGTGGTATTATAAACACCATGCATTATGGTTGAAAATGTTATATACAGCGAACACCAAAACGGTGTTTATCTAAAAATATTTGAGAAATGCACCTACACAGAAAAAAAGGAATAGTTCATTTAACTATATTAATTTAGTTGGTCCATAAATATTTATTTAAATCAACTGTGGGTTAATATAAACAAAGATTAGTTTGACGGTTCTAAACCAGATAGTTATTTTATTTTTTTAAATTGGTTAAATTAACCTAGAAAACTTTAGTGAAACCAACCCGCTGTATGGTTCAGTTTACTAAATATGTTGTTTGTAAAATAAGAGTTACTTAAACCTAAAGCACTCTGTTAAAACGATTAAAACAATTTGCCGTGCATTCCTGGTTGCATAGTGTGCACCGATCGGGGCAAAGGAGGTGTGGATCACGTGATGTTTTTAAATCTCGCCTCTGTTGACTTACATGAAGGTAGTCCTTTGCTTTGGTGTGACACTACAAGTTGTTCGATACTAAAGAGACCTTAAATAGGTGGAAACAGCTGTCAATTCTTGAAGTATTTTAAGTTTGGAGGAACGCACTAAAAACATTATCTGTAGCGAGTTGAAGGTTCAATTTTCTGAAATAATACCACTGGTAATATACTAGTAATGCCTTTTTTCTGTGTAGTATGATTTAATTTAACCAAAAACACATAATATTTAACACTGATAAGGAGTTCAATTTACACCAGGTAAAATTTATTTTAATACTGTGTGAAAGTTAAATTTACACTATTTTATTATTTGAATTTACACTGGAGCAACGAACCATATTTGGCGATAAAATGGTCATGAAATTTTGAACAGTGTAAAAGCTCAATTCCTACTTATTTGTGAGATTATGATGTAAAAAATATATAACTTTCATTTCTAGACATATAGAGCTATCTAGATAAACAACATAAGGATGCGAAACAGTTTTCTGGACATTGCCGAAAGCTAGGAATTTAGGAAACAATGAGTTTTGCATTTATACGTCTCCTGACCGCAAAAAAAAGAAATGTTACTTGTTTTTGTTTATTTTTTTTTAATAAAAATTATTGTAATACTCCAAACTAATAAATACCATTCAAAGGAATATGAAGAAAAATTAATTATTAAAACTGTATTAATGTAATACGTAAATATGTATAATAATAATTATTATCATTTACTTGCAGTAAAAGATTTAAATATTAAATAAACATAATTATTAAGATGCTACGATCAGACAAGGCTAAAAAAATATTAAATGTACAGAAGTTTAAAACGTGATGCATATTCACGTACAAAAATGTTTTGAATTCAAGAGCAAAAATATTAACGAATAGTAAAATGTTAAAAAAATATTATATAATATACCTACTAGTAGTAGTAGGCTAAGAATAAATGGTTAGTCCAATTTTCAAAGAAAGTATGAACTAAAAATACTTTAGTTTAATAGTTAATTAACAAAATTTGAAAATGTACTTGGAAGTTACCTTCAATGGAAGTTTGTAGCTAGCAAAAAACGGTCTACTAATGGATCCAAAATATATATGAAAATAAAGTGAATATTAAGAAATACACACGACCAAACGTATATGGAATTACCAGTGTTGTAACAGTTACAATATTTTCAGTATCTAGCTACAGTTACAGTTACTTACCAAAATTTGTAACTAGATACAGATACAGATACATATTTTATTGCAGTAACTAGTTACAGATACAGTTACCTTCAAAAAGTATCTAGATACTTTAAGATACATACAAATTATTTTTTGCTTTAAAAAAATTTAAAATAGAAATAAAAGGGAATTTTAAAGTGACAACAAAAATATACATGTTTAATATTTTTATTTTTTTATAATATTTAATTTAAAATAACTTATTTTTTATAATATTTTTTTTTTTTAATAAATAATAGTTGCAGTTTAATTAAAAATGTAATTTTTTTTCAAGCGGCCATGATATACAACCTTATATGCATGTATAGAGATAGTGCGTCTTTTTCATTATCGGCAGACAAAAAACTCAAAAAAGCCTAGGGATAGAAGTAAATCCATAGGTGACTCAATAGACGTCAAATAATAAAATTTATTTAGCATTTCATACAAAGCAATCACGATGTATTAATTATATTAATTATAATCGCACGGAATATTTAGTGATTATTTATTAAATTTTAATTGAACGAAATAAAGAACAACTAGTTTATTAGTATAATATTATGATGATAGACGAGTCGCCAATGTCGGATCTCCAAACAAATGTCAGTACGTCAAAATTAATTCAAGCGCAGCATTTTGACAGAGCAGTGTTTATTTTTAGTTTAGGATATTTATCGGCATTGCATTACATGTAAGTAAGGGTTATAAGTTTTTTTAGTTTTTATCAATAATTTGTAATGCTTTTAGCCAAAATTTTATACCACATGAGTTATATGTAAATAAAATAATTCTATTGCTTATCCTATTTATATCACGCCCTTGAAAAAAAAATTGTATATGTTATTTGGAGTAGAAGCTCTTTTTGTGCTTCGTACAGTTGCCTGCCTCAGCTACGCTTCGGCCGACAATCTCTGTACTCACCACAAAAAGAGTCACTTCTACTCCTTAGGCATAATCTACTATTTTTTCAAGCGGCCATGATATACAATCTTATATGCCTGTATAGAGATAGTTGAAGTGCGTCTTTTTCATTAGCGGCAGACAAAAAACTCAACAAAGCTTAGGGATAGAAGTAAATTCATAGGTGTCTCAATAGACGTCAAATAATAAAATTAATTTAGCATTTCATACAAAGCAATCACTATGTATTAATTATATTAATTATAATCGCACGGAATATTTAGTGATTATTTATTAAATTTTAATTGAACGAAATAAAGAACAACTAATTTATTAGCAAAATATTATGATGATAGACGAGTCGCCAATGTCGGAACTCCAAACAAATGTCAGTACGTCAAAATTAATTCAAGCGCAGCATTTTGACAGCAGTGTTTATTTTTAGTTTAGAATATTTATCGGCATTGCAAGTAAGGGTTATAAGTTTTTTTTAGTTTTTATCAATAATTTCTAATGCTTTTAGCCAACATTTTATACCACATGAGTTATGAGTAAATAAAATAATTCTATTGCTTATCCTATTTATATTACGCCCTTGAAAAAAAATTGTATATGTTATTTGGAGTAGAAGCTCTTTTTGTGCTTCGTACAGTTGCCTGCCTCAGCTACGCTTCGGCCGTCAATCTCTGTACTCACCACAAAAAGAGTCACTTCTACTCCTTATGACATAATCTACTATTTTGTATCTTAACACACCTAGTTACTTAGAATTTGTAACTAGTTTCAGTTATAGTTACTAGATTGGGATAAGTAACTAGTTACACAAACACATACATAAAAAGTATTTAGATACTGTATCTACTTACTTGTAACTAGATACGTTCCAACACTGGGAATTACCCAGTTATTACGAGAATCACTATTTTTTTTGAAAAAAGTGATTTTAAAATAAAAATAATTAAAACAAATTTTATAGAGAACAAATAACAAAAAATGTGAATTTCTTTAAGAATTAACCTTACGGTTAGTGAGGATTAAAAAAACAAATATTAGGTGTTTGCTAATTAAACACAGGGAAATATTGAAAATGTTTCAGGATCAAAAATAGAAAGTCTTATATTCAGGCCATCGCTTTTTTTTGTTATGTCGATTCGATGATTTGGTTTTGAATGTTTTGCAGTTTACATTTTTATTTACAAGCGTCAACTTTTCTAAGTAGGCTTCATTTATATCATACTGTCATGTAATTTGTCAGCTTTATAGTATTTTTTTAAGTTTTTAAAGAAACCTGTTCAAAGTTGAGTTAAAAATGCCATGACATAACTTGTTTTTTAACGAAGAAATACGAGACATGGATGCTTATACAAAATTTCATTCAATTCAGTGTAGCGATTTTATTAGATTCTAATTATTTAATCGATTAAAGAAGACTTTTAAAGTTTTGTGCTATAAATATTAAATTATTTTTATATTCTGCTCATTAAAAAAAATGTTCCTTGTCGACAGCTTTTGAATTTTTCTTATTAAATTCCTTAACAATTATTTCAAGTACTTCTTTCACGAGCTTTTGTCTCGTTCATGTATTCAGATTTCCAAGACAAGAGTTTGTGATGTGCGATTTGGTTTATTATTTTAAAAAGAAATTATTTTTCTCTAAAAAAAATTTAGGCTTTTTAGGCAAGCATTTAGAAATTTTAGGCAAGGTAGATCATTTAAAAAAGTCGTAAAAAGGCAAAAATGATGTTGGGTTTACATTTTGTGCTTAGAGTTTTTAACGAAAATTTATAGTATTTTCCAAATAAATTAAATCTTTTGGTTATTTTATGTACTTTGGTTTAAAACCCTTACTATTTAACTAAAATGTGAAAGATTTTCTGTATACCTACTTATACTTCATACTGTAAACTTTAGTAAAACTATTAAAACTTAAAATAAGTTAAACACGAACTGTAATTTTGCCAAAATTGTGTTACATTAGCGTTTTTGGGGTCATGTAATGTTAAGAATGCATTTACACCCTAATACTACAAAGGGGCGAAGGGGAAGGGGGAGAACCAGAGTAAAAACCTATTGATCTGGCAACACATT